GCTTCTAATCTTTGGATATTTCTATCTCTAGCCACTCACTTACTTAGCCATGTATGATTCATCACCACTCAGCAAAGTTGTTCATTTTTGAATGAGAACCTTCGGTCTTATAATATATATACACAAATGACTTTGAGATAAACTTATCACTGTTGTATTTCTTCACCCTACAACTTTCTTACAACAATCCTTACTGGAAGACTTATTCATGGTGATGAATTGAATGCATGTTGATGTTAGATGGTCGGAGGCAATCGGCAGGAAACCTTGGACCTTAGTTTTAAATCTTAGAAGGGATATGAGTTCCTTCACGGTTGTAGAAATGCCTTGTTGACGAGTTCCAACTAGCACGAAACCTAGGTCCAAAGCTTCCTGCCGATTGCCTCAACAATTCAAAGTGCACCGTGATGGCGAGCTACCCAAAAATGATGGCCACGTTGAGAACCTGACTGGTGGATATCAGTTTGTACCAAAGAAAGGACTAGACACATCACACTAGTTACTAGTGTCCAATGAAAATGTATATGCTGATACTGTATTACAACTGGTTTTATTGAATATTACAGGTCGTACGCAGCTGACGAGAACAGACAAAATAGAATGAATCCATATTATTCTGCACCAATGTCCTTTCACATTTATGAAGGGGGGTTCTTATTTGATGATGTAATTGTCTACACTTCTGACAGCTTATTTTAACTTACTTTTTTGTTTGGGTAACTAATTAATTTGAGAATTTGGATATGGCAATATTTAGTTTGTGTATGTAAGGTTATTGCAAAGAAGCAAAATACATGTTCTGTGTACTAATGAAGCCCATAAGCTGACTGTATAATCCTCTTCATTTAGCCATTCTTCAAACTAACTGTAATGACATTTCCCACTTGTTTTGACTGCCTGTTCAAATCCCTCGGTCATCGAAATTTTCCATCCATCAAAATGGGGTGTACTTACTCCCTTTCACATTGTTTCAAGCATCTAATTATCACAGTGAGTCACAATCCATACCACCACAGACTTTCACACAGCGTTCTACCTACCACTAGGACGTTTTCGAAGGAAATGCAGGAGCAGCATTGTGGAGTAGTTATATATGTCCAAACTAAGTCCACTTTTAACAGTTTGAAAAAATTCGGGCATTGGGGCTTTTTTGTATTTCTCAATGAATGAAAAACAAAACGCTATTGTGAAGTAGTATTGGAACATGAATCGGATGGAACGATATTGCTTCAGATGACGAATTATTGGGTATTATATTGTTATATTTCTATAAATGTAGGATTCATCTGTTGATTAATCACTCATCTGGTCTATTTTCTGACACGCTACTGTGTGAAGCAGTTTGAATGTGTAACGTTGACGCATCCCCATTTAGGTCTTCTGGGAGGTTTCCCATACTGGCTGCTACAACAAATAATATCAGGGAATACAAATGATCCAGGAAATAGATGTCTAAAATCACCTTTAGGCGCAGCGCATCATAGAGGTGTGTCAGAAGTTTGATTTCATTAATGCCTTCAAACTTATATTCGTTGAAGTCTTGGCCATTAAGGTCTCAAACCTGTTTTATGTTTTATTACTTTGAACCTGCTTCTGCAATCCATATTGGGACCAATTTTCAGTTAATTCAGTGGTGTTTTCACACTCTTCCTTCTGTTTTTCTCTCTCGCATCCTTATGTCACCTTCCTAAATCTTATTTGTGACCTTGATCTGTACACATTTTGACCTATATTCTAATAAATGATCCTCTTTTGCCTCGTATATGAATACGTATCACAAGTATGTGTGTCACCATAATGTTCGAAATGTGTTGCGTGAATACATTAGACGTTTTAGATGAACTACATCTTCTTATTTTGTTTGTTTGTCGAAATTCACAAGGGGAGCTGATTGCTTTAAATTTCTGTACTGCGTCTAAATACACTTTCCAGAATGAAGCTATTGTTATTGCTGTTATTATTACATCGTTGGTCTGAATTCTCTGAATAAATTATGTAATTTATCTTTCTATTCTGTTTGGATTTTTGTGAATGCAATGAAGTAATTCTGACTACCGACAACCGTAACTCAAAGTTCATCTGCATTTAAATTTGGTACATTTCCTAACAAATGATTTTAAGATACTTTATTAGCATATAGTTATTACATTTTCTATCTTATTGTTGATGGCATGTTTTGAAGATATTTCTGTCCAGTTTATCTCGATTTATTAATGGTATATGGGAGTGTATCTCGTATGATTAGGCCACACTGGCTTGTAGGGAACACACAATATTTGCAGCCACATGATAATTATTAAAGTTTGTGACACTAAACGAAAAAAGTCAATTTTTAGGTAGATTTCACCCCGAACCGATATAACATCCAAATCTTTTAAAAATCGGAGAGCACTTGATTAACTGTTTCATCCCAGCATGAAACATTTCCACCACTCACAAATGACCATAATAGGGAATAAACTCAGTGACGTGAAGTCTAACAGTATTCACATTCAACCATTAATAACTATCTTCGCATTCAAAATGATTTACCTGAGTGGTGAATTTGAGAAAATCCAGGCTTCAGCGAACTGTCAGTCGTTTTAGATAGGTTTATTTGACATCATACACAATGATACGGTATTGATAACTGGATGATATTTTGAGCACATCTTATTCCTCATAATCGTACAATTGCATTTACACGAATTCCTAGGTTGCTCTATGCGGTTTTTTTAATCCTCTTGCTTTATTGTTACAGTTTCCTATAAATCGGAGATACAAATTAGTTTTAAGCGTTTATTTCCTTATTTTTTACCTCAGACAACATGAAGCACAGTAAAAATTGGACATTTGAAACCTATTCATTGACAATCTTACTCCACATAGCTACATTTTTGCCATAGAAGCGTATACTGAAATCTTAGATATACTTTAGAAATTGTTGAATTTAGAAGTGGCGTGGAATCATGCTGTTGTCCACGCCAAGTAAAATACTAAGTCGCGCCATCCTGGGGAGAATAAAAGGTACATTGGATACAGGACTCCTGCCAGAACAAGATTAAATCGGGAAAGACGAATCATGTGCTGATCAAATTGCAGCTCTACCAATCATGATCACACACAGCATAGAATGGCAGTAAAAACTCTCTCTACCTCGACTTCGAAAAGGCCTTCGACACCGTTGACCAAGCAGTAATTTGGAAACTACTTCAACACTATGACGCTACTACGTATCAGGTGATCCACAATGGAAAACTCAGTGAGGCTTTCAAAGTGGATACAGGAGTATGACAAGCTGGCTGCCTTCCATTATCACTCACGATGATATTCTTAATTGTAGTGGACTGGATTATGCATCATACTGTGCTCAGGGAGTGACAAGACTGGAATACGTGTGACCTATAAGAAGACTCTAGAAGATCTGGATATCGCGCGTGTATGATATATGTCTAACGCCAAACAAACTCGAAGACTTACAGGCAGGCAAAAACCAACGAACTGGCTGGCTGAAGAAGCAGCTAGTGGACACAGGACTGCAAGTAAGCATACAGAATGTGGACACGGAGATAATGAAGATAACCAACCAACGGCAATAGCGACAACAAACAGCACCAATCAATATCAACAGGAGAAACTTGAAAGAGGTCACTTCCTTCACCCATCTAGGCAGCAAAATTTCAACTACAGGTATGCCTCATGGATGAAAATCTAAAAACCATCCAGGATCGGAAAGGCGAGATAGACCTTCAATGCTCTGAAATCAGTGTGGAAATCTTCTGCAGTCAGCTGCAACAACGAAATTCGTTTATTCCACAGGTGTCAAAACATTTTTTCTATATGGGTCAGAAAATTTGCCAGGGCGTCACGGAAAGCATTTCCAACAGGCCAACACAGACATTAATCAGAAGATGCATTCACTGGTTCCATACTGAAAATAGGATGGCCTGTCAGAAGGAATTAGCAACAAAGAACTCTGGGACTGGGACAACCAACAACTTAGCGCCCAACATATACCTCGAAGAAAACGGAAATGGACTGGGAACACACTGAGGAGATCGTGCACCAAGCCTTCGAGCGGAACCAAAATGGGAAACGACATGGCGCGTCCAAGGATAACATGAAGATTGTACGAGGAGGGCGTGAGATACGATAGGTAATTGTGAGGCCAACTAATCAGGTTTACAGAGAATAAGACAAATTAAGGAGGTGCTGCTGAAAGCCCCTACCTTTCACTCGGAACTCAAAGGAACGACAATGAAACAATAGTAGTATTCTCTGAGGAAAACCGAACAGCGGTTGCCTGCCTTATTCACTGAGCTACCAGAAGTTTCGTCCACCAAAATGCTTAGACTTGACTGCATTTCTTATTATTTTTTTCAATCGTACAATTATATTATATGACCGCTACATGAACTTGCGCGCCTATATAATTAGCTTCCAACTAAACGCTATGCAATTCTTGAAAGAAATGAAGGAAAAAATTACAGAATTGGTTCTCTTCTCATATGCAACAACGCTACGTCACATGATACATATACTTCAGATTATTACTTTACAAATAAATCCTGTAAGAAGAGGGAATATTTTGGAAATAAATACGCTGAAAATTTCTGAAATATATATGTCCACATATTTTCTGAAATAAAGCTTTATTATTACTATCATATTATAGATGAAACATATTAATTGGACGTTGAATAAAGTGCACATTTAATAAATGCATTAAAGTCAACAACTATCTGTATGTCGCTGCTAAAATGTTAAAAAAAAAAGTAGTATACAAAACGAGAAGCATCTTTTCTGAATAAAAACAAAACAAATGGGAAGGTTAACAAATATTTTAAAAGTATTTGTGAGTGCTTATTGATTTATATATATAGATGACATTTCTAAACAAAATATCAGAAATAAAATTAATCCCTCAGGAAATATATATAGAAATCAGGGAATATAATAGTGTTTGAGTCATCTTACAGTTATCTGTATTATTATAATTATTATTAATATTATTATTATTATTACACATCTGAGCATAAATGATGCGGCCAGTTACTGATTTCGTAAACTTTATGATTATTCATCTTTGTATCATTATTTGTTGAGGATGTTGATTGTACTTTTGAATTTGATTGCAAAGAATCTGTGTTGTTGTATTGACAACTTACAGGAGTGTTATTCTGTGTTGATAAATGATTTGAAAACTTGGACTCACGTAAGTTGTATGTGATGAAAATACAATTAGCTAAAGATAATAAGCCATTAGCACTGTTTGGATTCACAATTGATTCGGTTGAAAATAAATATTCCTATTAACAAAAAAAAGTACAAAAGAGATTAAAAAACCCCAAGAATAATTGTTTTGTTTTATTCTTTTTTTTCCAGTACAGAAAATTGAAAACATAAATTAAATGACTGAATTTGGATTATTTGATAATTTTATTTCCTATAGTCTTACTCCATGTAAATTGAATGGATGGGCGTCATAATTTACACTTAGACTTAATTTGTCAGCGGTAGGTAGTAGTGAAGTTGAACAGACACAAAGAGACCTAAGATTGAAACTCTGGTAGACAGAACTTTGAAATACACAGCCTGAATGAGATGTAGACATACAATGTAAAATAAACCTCTAGTAGAAGATAATACAAAGCTAAATAGAGCTGACAGTTTGGTTTCTGTGAAATTAAAAGATAGTGGAGACAAGTTACTGAGTCGACTGAATACATTGAACTTTGTATTTCGAGGATTCCAAATACCGGTTTACATTTTAGTTTAGGACCCGTTTTTCTAACATGATATCAAAGATAGTATGTTATATAGTGATAGTGTCTTCGCTCCATACTGAAGATTAGATGGCCAGAAAGAATCACAAACAAGAAACTATGGGAACAAACGAAACAGGAACCAATCGCCAATCAAATATGCAGGAGAAAGTGGAGATGGATTGGACACTCACTGAGGAGGCCGTTGGGTGACATCGCGCGTCAGGCCATAGCTCGAGTGGAACCCGAAAGGGAAGCGGCGAGTGGGACGTCCAAGGGTGACATGGAGGAGATCGTGTGAGGAGGAGATGAAACAGTATGGAATAACATGGATGCAAGTGAAAAGTACAGCAGAAGACAGAAGCAAGTGGAGGCGTGTAGTTGAAGCCCTATGTTCCACTAGGAACCCAAGGAAACAATAATAATAATGATACGAAGAGGAAATTAAGTGAAGTCTGGGAAACAAATTCTAGACCAAACAAATGGCATCAATAAGTTAAGTCACCCGCTGCTGGTCCATGGATGCAGTTCTTAGGATGGCGAGAATCTAGGGTGATAGGTGACTCTTTGTAACATGATTAAGAATAAATCATATTGTTTTAAATGAATCCACATCATTCGTGACTCTGAAGAGTATCCTTGGAAGGTCCTACGTTCGACTTTGGTGGGTACTTGTTGTGAAGAAGTCTCAAACTAGAACGAAACAGATGTCTCAATGGTCCTCTAACCGATATCTACCCATGATCAAACCTTTAGCCAACCAAATTCCTGCAAGTCAACACTTGGTATTAAATCTAACGCTCACTAGAGACGTGCTCTATACCGGAAGTTGCCTGGCGTTCTAGCGAGAATTCGTGACCGGCTGGGTCCCCCAAGTCAGGTAAGTGAAAACTAACTTGCCTGTGAGATTGCTTGGCGGTTGATCGCTCTGTCATATATATATATATATATGTATCGCGAAATGGCAGATGGATCGGATTTGCAAACTCGTTTTGCAACCGGGAGGTCTTGGGTTCAAACCCTTGTGGGTGGTTTTCCAAAGGTGCTCTAATTGTTATCGGCTCTTGACCAAGCCTGTAAGTTTTCAATTCATTATTCATTACACCTCACCATCACTTAATCTAGCATCGCTACGTTTATGTTTGCAGCTTTTATAAGACGGCTTCTGCATGCTAAGGCTGTTTGAATGGATTCACTAATCACTCAGTCATGTACTTCTGAACAACACACTGAGCTACGCATTGTTGCCTTCCATCTTCTCAGAAAGATCTTCCATTTCCTGCCATTTCTTAAATTATGAATAACTCGATTGTAATAATGAATACACGAGAATTTGTAGCCTCTGTACATCTTCTCTAACTGAACATTAACATCAGTTTCATATTTATATCAACTTCATTGTATGCATATGAATTCTAGGCATTTAGGCGTTCACTAGAATCTAATCAGTATATGTTCCTAGAACTCCTTTACACAGTACCAGCCTGTAAGCCTCACCCTATGGTCTGAGAACTAATGAAACTGTCCAGTTGCTAAGGATGAAGTATATGGAGAGGAGCTCGAACCTTGTAGCCATCAGCTGATTGTCAAGTGCTTAAGCCACTGAGTCATATATATTAATCGCTTCTGGACTCTGTGAATTAAGATCGTGTGTAGTATCTTTTTTTGCAGTGTCATTTCTGCAGTGGACTTCAAAAAGAAACCAATGAAATAAACCGTTTTTTTGTTCCTATAGACAGTTGGCGTCATCTCGCTCAACCCAGCTTACCTGTCAGCCCCTTACTGCAAGATGAGATAATACACATTTTAGTCGTTTTTTATAGGTGATAAAGTATTTTCAGTATACTCATATCACTACTGTTCATCGAATGTCGGTTAATACAGTCACACAAAATTTGTAAACCATTATGCCGTTTAAATAAAATAAAGTATGATTGTTAGAAAAAAACTGTGGGTAGATTCAAGTATGTACATTTGTTTAAAATACAAGCGAGTGGCTAACAGAAAACTGATTTCAAAACATAGTTTAAAAAAAATTTCAAACCCTATCACCCGTAGACTTCATTTTAGGATTGACTTGGGAATGTAAAACCTGACACAAGACAGAATTCACATTGAAATACTAATCCCCCTACAAGGGAATCGATATAGATGCAGAAGAATTTTGTTTTTTGTAATTTTATGCTACATGTAATACTACAAACCTTCTCAAAGGTGTATCACATGGCTGTGAGAAATAACTATTAAAAATGCCGTTTTCAGACGTTTGAATGATGGCACTCTCCTCAATAGTGCAAGCATCTGATCTATAAATCCACTATGCGAATCAGCTGTTAAGTCTCATAAAGTAAGCCTATAATCATCATTACCGATTTTAAAAATCAATATTCTAAGCTTTTCTTTTACTTATTCAACTTAAAAATTTCAAATATTCTTTCTCTGCTTCAGGTTACTTCAATTTTCAAATACACATCAGTCTGAGGAGCTCATTTAAAATTATCACAGTATTTTCAGAAGGTTAAAACGAAAAAATTTCTGAACCGTTCTCTGTGTTAGTCGCAAATTCCTTAGTGCAATTATTGTGATGTTATTAAAAAATTAGAAGAGTTAGTCGAATTATTTGGCTGAAAAGTTTGCTGCTTGCACTGAGAAACACTAGAGGAAAGATCTTGCTTTTGACTTTATAAAAGTGCTGTTTCACCCTCAAATAATTTTTCATACAGCCGCTTCCTTTTATTAGTTTGCATAAAGAAAGAACGAACCTATTCGCAGGATAATAAAAGCTCGTTTTATTTCGTAGATTCTCCTCAGCTGCGTACATCTTATATAAATCAATTATATGTTACGAAATTTTTGAACATACTTTATACAACGATTTTAAGTTACAGATAGAAAGAAAGCATTAGCAACATAATTTCAAAGGTGATGTAAGTAGACAATTATTTAGCGTTAAAAGAGTAATTATTTATATGGTAATTAGACCGGGGAAGGGGTAGACTTCAGATTTCTCTTGGAAACAAGGATGGAACAGAGATAAAATACAAGATCGAACAAATTGGTGAATTTATACATATAATAGTGGAGAGTTCAGGAGGGTGAATAGTGAAGTAAAATCATAAAGGAGATAAAAAAAATTAATTTAGTAGATCTGAAACCTTAATAGTGAGTTCAAGTCAGTGAGTGAAAATCAAAATCAACTTTGAGCGGAATGTTACGCAACAGAACAGAACACAAAAGCACACGAACAAAGCAATTCCGGTTACCAGGGTGGTGAGAGATAAGTCACACTTTCTTTCTGTATGCATAGGGTTTGGTCGAAGTCTTTTGATTGCAATGACTTCTGGGAACCGAAGTAAACATGCTTTTCTTCGTATATTGATTATTTTGAAAGCCTGACTGATTCTCATTGTATATCTCGTGTCAATTAGGTGTTTGGTGATCGCGCTTTTGTTGCCTTGAAAATGGAGACTTTTAGGGATATGCTCAGAGAATCTAGAAGAAGCTCTTCTCTCAGTCCTTCCTATGTACTTGCTGCCTCAAGTGCAGGTGAATCGGTAAATGTGGTTAGAGTTGATATGAGCAGGATACTTATCTACTTTTGACTGGGTTAACGGACATACTGTTTTGTAAAGTGGGATGAGTCTAGCGACAGGAAATGTCTTTTTAATGCACCTTTAATTCTGTCTGCCGTTCTTATGGATACTTCTTCCCCTTTGTTTGCTAGACAGATAAAAACTGGCTTCTTTTTAGTTATATCGGGCTTTGGTCTGGGTGGTTTTTCCTTCCCATATTTGCATATGAACTTCCGAGGGTGTCCATTTTCGAAAAGTTGCTTTTCAATGACTGTCAGTTCCTCTTCGACCTTATCTTCTGAACACAACGTTCCAGCTCTGATGAGGAGCGTTTTCCCCAAGCTGCGTTTGTAGCCGATCGGGAAGAAACTGTGATAATCCAAGTATTGGCCAGTCCAAGTTTCTTTCCTGTAGATGGATTTTTCAATTGTCTCATCATTTATTCTTTTGATGTGGAGATCTAGGACGTGGAACTGATTGTTACGTTCATGGTCCATTGTGAATGCTATGTGAGGGTGAGTCGCACTGAGGTTTTCAAACATGGTGGATGCGTGATGCATATTGTTGCAAACCACAGACATGTCATCAACATACTTGCAGTAATAGGTGGTCCTCTCTATTTCCTGCTTGATTCGTGCCTGTTCAATAAGAGCCGTGAATATGTTTGCAAGAAGAGGACCTTAGGGTGAACCCATAGTCACCCCGTCGATTTGCCGGTACAGCTGGTTATTAAATCGAAACTGGACGTTCTTTGTAGAAAAAAAAGTAGAAATTTTTGTAGCTCCTTTTCAGGAAGAGGAAGTAATTCGGATTGCTGCCATATGATTCCCATTGTCTCTTCAATGGGTATGCTAGTAAACAGTGAACAAACATCGTAGGATACGAGAAGTTTGTCTGAAATGTTCAGTTGGTCTAATTCTGGTAAGAATTGGAAGGAACCCTTGATACTATGGACTGCCAACTGTGCCAACAATCAAGCCAGCTTATGGCATGGTGATTTCTCCATTAAAATTATGGGTCTCAATGGCACATCAGGTTTGTGGACTTTAGGTTGACCATACATGAATGGTAGAGGTGATTTTGATGATTTTCTTGACATGCTAAGTATCAAAACTGTTCCGAGAAATCATAACGCGTATGAGCTGGATATCACAATAATTTGTTTATTGGATATGTCATACAGTAAAACGGTATCATTTCCTGGAGTTGGCGTAGTGTCACCAATATCCCTGATAGTGGCAGAAAAATCTGTAGACTTAGTGACTGATGCATTCAACTCCACCTCCGAAGCTTGATGAAGGCATACAGATGAAATATTAACAGTACTTAAAAACAAAAGCTGCAAATAGATTTTTTAAACGTATAAACTCAGACGTGTAGGCATTTCGATTCACTTATGTACTGAAAAGTTATGAAGGGCAGCTTCCAGTGTTAGATTATATCATAAAAATGGAGGATGGGAAGTGTTCACAGAAAACGTATACATCGAAACCGATATTTATCCAGTTAAGAGTACTGTTTCCCAGTATGATATATCCAATAGACAAACTAATATGGAATTACATACTGACACAGTGACCAAGTGTTACACATATTATCATGCCCTGGATATTTATAAGTATATCTACCATGGTCACTTTCAGTTAACGTGGTTTCAGCAGTTGTTTAATTGACTTTACTTCTGATTTTCTGAATATATCAGATGGCTTATTTCATTTGGCGTCATTTGATGTCTGTTTCATTCCCAGCTTTTACAATAATTATACTGACAGAGTATTTCTAATTCCATCATAAAAGCTATTTAATTTAGTATGCTTATATCAATTAATAGTAGTAAGGTTAAATTTCAGCAATTTTTATTAACTCTACGCGATACTGTGCATAATATATAACACTACTAATATGTTTAAATTTATTAGTGAATGATTCTTGTTATTATTTGACCTTGATGAAACATATCTTGAAGGCAAAGTTGAAACTGAATTTGTTTACTTGAATTTCCTTTGTCTTTGCTGCCTGTGCTACATGAATTACCGTCAAAATAGGAAGATTTGATGGAATTATCTAAAACTCTATCATGTAGTAGGCTTCTTTGTGTCTCTACTTTTGTAATGGCTTGTCTTAAGATTAAAATTTGTCAGTAAACTTGAATGTGGTACAGGGAGATCAAGGAATCAAAACAAGAATCTTTCTGAGTAACCAATACTTCATACAGATTGCTTGCTGATCAATAATTACTGTTTACATTGTTATTCAGTGAAATATCTCCAACTATTGAATTGTTAAACTTTCATCTTACTCTAGGCACACCATAGAGATGAAGCCATTCACGACAGCGTCTAATATTCCGCCGGTAGGATTTCATCACTTCACTCAGCATATTCGTCTGATCATTTCTAGGTGAACATACCTGAAACAAATGAGACAAATGAAACAGATGGTGAATTTAGTGTGTTTAAAATGCCGGAAAAGACACTTTATTAAAACAACTTGCTTGAAGTATATTTAACGGATCTACTAGCATAGAAAAACTGGTGGAGTGAAAACAATTGGAGAAACAATGGAAGAATGTGTTTTCAAAGAAAGAAGTTTAATATGCTTGGAAATTCACCCACTTGAAAGCTTAGTCACATCTGCCTGTCAATATTAGGGAACTTCCTGAGTTTTTTCTTCATCCTCACTCTCTTCTGATTGATGCCTTCTCTTATAGGTACTTTGTGAGTAGGATTTATCTTTACCATTCATCTGTGTGTATAATCCTTTGTTATTCAGCTTTTTCTCTCTATTCATTGATATCTTTTATTTGCTCATCGTCTAACTTTGAACGGCCAATGCCTTGTATCTACAAATTTTTGATGTTCTCCTTAACCTCTGTTACAGTTTATGGATTTGGTGACTTTTCACTTTCAATATACCATAGTTCATGAATAATACAAGGCAAAATGTTATGGTCGATTCTTTTTAAAGTGTGACTTTAAAAGTTCAACGTTAATAGATGACTCCCTGTTATCTATAGCTGTACATTCCATTATTTCTACTTAACTGGGAGTTTCTCATCCACATACAGTAGTGATAACCCTTAATGCTTTATTATTTTCATATGAATTCCTATGACACATACGTGTTTGATCAGATTGCTTGAAGTGTGTGTTACGCAAACACATTGCACAATTTAGATAAATTTTGTCCTCTTACTTTTTGTTGTCGTTGTTGTGGAAACCCATAAAGAGAGAACTATTTGTTCACAATGATAACAGTAAAAATAACAATAGTAATGGATTTATTCTGAACAGTACTTTTTCACTATCAAAATCAATCCGCGGTGGTATCAAACTGTTCGTGACACAGAATGATCAAAATTGTTTTAAAAGGTATAAAATGTTACATTTTCAGAGTCTTTTGAACACCTTGAGCTACAATCTACGAATCGTTGGCAAGCTATTCGCTCCCGCCAAATGTAAGATGATGCTAGAGAACTGGACTACATTGACTCCTAGCTTAGAAATAGGGAGTGAAGTGGTAGAGCACGTTGACCGCTTCACTTATTTAGGAATTTGCATCAGTCAACTCCAGCGGGTTGATTGCTGGCGAAATCTCAGCACAGATACAGAAGGCTCGTTTCGCATATGCAGTTTACGCTGTCTCTGGCTTAGTAGAGGTGATATCTGGCTGGCTATCGATCAAAGGGCGTGTGTACTGCTCAGGAGTCAGCTCCACCCTCCTTTATGGCTGTGGAACATGGCCATTCAAAGTGGAAGACATGAAAAGCCTGGCTAGCTGTCTGTGATCATAGGTGTCTGCGTTCTGTCCCCCGTTTTAGGTGGAATAATAAGGTGAGCAATATTGAAGTTAGGCGTCGAGTGCTAGGCAAAGAGGGGAAATCAATCAACGAGGCTGTGAAGTTACACCGACTGAGATGGTTAGGACATGTGTTACGCATGCCTAGCCATCGCCATCATCGACCGATAGTCAATGTTAGCTGACACAGCATCAGGTTGGAAAGCAGCCAGTGGTGGTCAAGCCAAAACATGACTTCACCTGTCAATGAAATCCACAACAGTTAGTTTAAGCCAGCCAGTCACGTAGGGAGGTGTATATTCCCTGGCTGGTTGGGATCCTCTGGACAGTGAAAACAATGACGGCTGGAGACAATTGGTGATATGGCTCAAAATCGTTCCCACTCCTTGTGACTTATAATACCCAATAAAACTATATTGTTCTTCGATATTACTGTTCTTTTTGCCTCATATCTCTGTTTACATTCTCTATTTTGCGTTGCTTTTTGCTTTTTTCTTCTTCTCTGGCTTTGTGTGCTGAGTGAAGTGTGGCGACTCGGACTGCTGTACATCGATGAAAAGTTCTACGTTGAAACCAGTCAGTCAAAATGTTACTTGCAATGCTGCGAAAATGCTTTATTTGAGCAAATACGCTGCGTGAAAAGGATCGAAACAATGTATAAATTATGGAAAACATTTTCCCGGAAACTTTCTACGCTTAGACTTCCTTAGACCATTTGGATGACACATTCTGATGACATTAATTTCAAATGTCGCATTGCAAAAGGGGAGCATTAATTTGTTAACCATAATTTATAATTCTTAAATTCCCTGTCTCCATAAAAGTCTTAAAGTTGCGCAAGCAATCTTCATTTCTCTTTTTCCATCATCGCCTTCTGACTGTCAATAACATTCTCCAGAGTAATACGAGACCCCTGTTTCAGCTTATGTGACAAGTAGCAGGAGGAGTTTTCTTTCTAATATAGCTTACATAAGTGTGGTTTTTTCTCTAATCAAGTTGAAAATTTGAAACAATCTTCATTTAATTTTCTTGCATTCTTAAAGTAATTTAGTGGACGACGACTGGCTGTGGAATCCAGGGTGCGCATTTGGTCCTATTTGGGAATCGTCAATTTGGTGTGTCTGAATTCCTCCATGAGTGATGGTGTTCCTACTGAAACTCGAACCCAGTACCCATCGTTTCGAATGACAAAGTGTTATCCACTGGACTACGTGAATCACGATAGGTGTCCGTAATTACCTGTTTTTAATTCAGTTTTGATTTCACAGTCAACAGAGGCTCAACACTTCAGTCGAATCGGTCAACGGGAAAAACAAAATTGACTCGAAAATAAATAATTCTTTACATTCTATTTGTAAAACGCGGAGAATTTTTAACATAGAACTATACAGTGAAATGATGCTCCATCCAGAAATGCCACTAAGAGCAAAAAAGTGGAATGCAAAACAACATTTAAGTTTTAAGGTCAACATGAGCAAAAACGTTTTTCTAGTGATTCATTTATATTACTGACTAGTAGTATATACAGTTATAATGAATTTTAGTATTGAAGTGGAATTATTGTCGCTTTATAAACACCAGTTTCTTCATAATTATTAAAAAACGTTTACGACGATTCTATGTAATCTCTGCTGTGAAATATGAACTGGTAAACTCTCTTAGCTGTGCCTTTCTCCCCCTTCTAGTCTCTAACGTGTATAACTGTTTTGAAAGCACAACAATGTTTAAATAAGTTTCATGAGAAGACTGTAGTCATGAGTGCATCATTTTGTAGTAGGCAGTTTAATTTATAGCTACTGTATTTAACAAATCCAACAAAACATCTGAATTCACCATTATAACGCTGAATTTCCATTCTGCGTCTTTTCTTGACACTGAGTTTCACTTTTCAAAAGAAATATTTCCACGCAAGCTACTGATTATAAAGATCCGTTTTATTTAAAATTAGTTTAGTACATTAAACATTAGGGATTCGGCAGTTTTCTGTAAAAACACAAACTTTTCGGTATATTTTTCACTTCATATTACACCTAGAATACTTAGAAAACTGAGGTTTCAGTAAGACAAACTTTACTACTAATAAAATATCCTCTAAAATTCTCTAATTCATATGTTATTCTTTCTTAATCATACGTGATAATTCGAAATCTTACCTAGTGCACAAAAGACGTCTTAAATGGATAGTTTGGGGAATAAGTCACTGGCATTTTTTACGATGGGAATTGTGTTTAACTTTCAATAAGAACCCCATCAGTGATTGAGGAGCAATCGCTTGCAGATGACGAGTACAAAATAGGATGGTATTCATCTCCTGGATTCAACTGATAGCTACCGCTAAACAGGAAAACTCTGAGTTGTTGATGCTGCTAACATTCAGGTGTGCTTTCAAAAAGTCTGTACTCCAGTTTGGTAAAGTAACCAATGGGTAACCATGTATGTGACTGATTTCATGTAAGATCACGAGTTGACTCTATTTAATGTACCACTGGAAACCAGAGAGCACTGGACAGCTATTTCGTCCTAATTTAGGACTGGTATGTGAATCCCAGCTTGAACTAAAACCTGTTAATTACTCTAACGCTCACCGGTGGTTGCCTAGCAAATGAAGCATTGTGTATCTCCGGTGACCGATAGATCTATCAGGTTGGATGTGAGGACAAATACTCAACGATAATATTGATTATATACCACCACTATATACCACTAATTTAGAATTCATCGGTTGTTGGGTTTCGTCCCAGTGGCTGAGCTGTCAACTTACTGGCCTTGGAAAGATTTCCGACAGTGTCATGGATGTGAACTGCTGAGGGGTCCCCTAACTAGAACGAAAAAGCTGCCTGGCACTCACAGGTTTTCAGTGGTTCGATAACTGTACTAACTTCGTGATATAACAAGTTATCCGTTAAATACTCGCAAATTGACACTTGAAGATTTCTTTTTCATCCTATTTTAATAATAAAAAAATGATGAACTACTTCAACCGTGAGTACATCATTTTAGTTTGAGAAAGAAGTAAAACGAAAATAGTTCAATAGACTTAACAATATGAAAAATAAGTTGACTCTTCTTTATTTTCGATGTAATCAGTCCTTTTCAACAACATTTTCAAGTAATTTGTTTAATCCGAAGCAAATTATGATGTGTATGTATGTGAACTCCAAAATTGTATTTGTTTATATGAGTAGACATGCTAACAATAACTCATACTATTTTAATCAACAACAAAAACTTAAGATTACGCTTACTTGATAGCCACATTGACATGAAATAATGAACGAGTCTCACACAACAATGATTAACATCACAAAATATCAAGGGGACTTAGTTAATTAACTACGCTAACATTATGCTGTATATACACTTACATCCAATGAGGTTTACGTAGTGTGGGGATAACTTTTGAAAAATCTATAATTAGATCTGAGAGCCAACGTATATAGGGAATATTGGAGAAGAGTAGCCTGAACAGACAACACTCTGCAGAATACACTGGGTGATTGATTATAATTAGCCTTCAAAGGGTAATATTGAGAGCTACTCTTCAGTGAGACAAGACATACGCATGGAGCTTGAGAATTAAGAAAATTCTTATTGATCACTTTCAACCGTTGGATTTAATATAAATGAGAAGTGCGATGTGTTGCTTAAAAGTGGTATTTCAAGAAAGATTTCCTAGATGTCGTCCACAATACTTCATTCCTAAATTTAAGCCTGTCTTCAGCATCCATTAATGGAACAGTCAGTGACAGCTAGTCGCCTCTGAAATAATGAAAAATAAAAATCGTGAATATGAAATTAAGTCACTGAATATTTCCACCGAAACTGATTTCTTATTTTCTATTTGAATCGTAAATGATAAATATTTTTTATTCCAACTAGGCTAGACATGAAAACACCTTACATTGACTCTTAAAACTTTTTCATCTTTGACGTAGGTGTCATATTCGCCTAATCACTATAGATTACTTTTTCAAAGCATGGTAGGTTTAACTAGTGGAGTTTTGTACCAAGTTCTGAATTGATAGTTTCAGACAGTGACCATCTGATTCACATCATCGACACTGTATAACCAAAGCTACAGTGAGATTACAGATTATGTTTTACTTCGCAAAGGATCATCTTGGAGGCACAAACATAACAGATAAAATGAAATCTCTTATGACTTTATTTAGTTGAATTTCGCTATTGATAAAGGGAATTCATTTTAGGCATTTTACTGTAAACTGCTTTTTAAACGGAAGACAGATACTAATACTACAGGAGATTTACGAAAATGTATCCGTCAAAATGCAAAATTTTATTCTAACATTCTATTATAATAAAAAAATCTTTTGAAAATACGAAATTATTCGTCTTCAGTTTACGAAATGTTTCATGATTGAACTATACAAGAAACATTTCAACAAATATCGTAGTGAATACCATATAAGAAATAAACCGGATACTTAGTTCTTTAGTTTCTCGTCACTGTTTTCAAATGTTCACTCCCACAAGTGTCAAAGGAAACGCATTTATGCTGCTTTCCAGCTTGACAGAGAAATGTTTGTGGACTTAATATGAGAAAAAATTTAACTTGAAAACTTTAAATATGATCCTGGGTTATTGATTGACATTCGTCTATTTCTCAGTTATTTCAATAAATCAACTAAATTAGAAAATGGGAAGATGCTTAGTTTATACAAAAAGAATAAACAAACATATATCTCGACTTTTTCCTAACAAAAAACACACGAAAGTAGCAAGTCTGTATTCCCAGTATATATATAGTCTGATTTTCACAAAAACCAGAATAAAGCAGATTTACACGTAGACTATTATGTACCAAAATGTAGTCTAGAAAAGCACTGATTGATTATATAGTATGACATGAGTTGGTAGTGGATTTTGAATAAGAATTGGTAATTCACTGCCTTGGAATCTGTGCAAATGTAATCGATAGATATAGACTAACTCTCAGGCATGTAAAAAGATGTGTGCGTCTCACTATTATTTAAATAATTTCTTAATCAGGAATTTGATTTCTATTGCGGAGAAATAAAACTGAAAGTGCGAGAGTATTTAAATTCTTAAGTTTAGCATGTTAGTGATGGAATCAATAGAATATACATACATGTATTTCAAACAGCCAGGATAATACGAGCTCGTTTTGTTTTCTGGATTCTCTTCAACTGTGTACATCCTAAACAAAATCACTTATAAGTAGCAAACTTTCTGAAGACACATTTTTACCGCGACTTCGGATCATAGATTGACAGCATAAGCAACGTAATTCCGAAAATGATGTAAGTAGACTAATTACTCCGTACTAGAAGAGTAACTATTTATATTATAATTAGACCGGGGAGGGGGAAGAGACCAGATTTCGCCTGAAAACAGGGAATAATTGGAAGGCAGAGAACTGTTCTAAAGTTTAATTGCCAGATACCTAGTTGACACGGGATATACAATGGTAATCAGTCAGGCTTTCAAAATAATCAGTGTACAAAGGAAACCATGTTTACTTCGGTTCCCATAGGTCATTGCAGTCAAAAGACTTCGACCAAACCCTATGAATACAGATAGAAAGTGTGACTAATCTCTCACCATCCTGGTAACCGGAATTGTTTTGTTCGTGTGCTTTGTGTTCTGTTCTGTTGCGTAACATTCCACATTTTAATTTTCACTAACTGACTTGAACTCACTATTAAGGTTTCAAATCTACTAAATTAAATTATTTTATCTCCTTTATAATTTTACTTCAGTGTTCATCCAGACCCTCCTGAATTCTCCACCATAATTTGTAGAAATTTACTGCGTTGTTCGATCTTGCATTGTGTCTCTAGTCCGTCCCTGTTTCCAAGAGAAATCTGAAGTCTACCCCTTCCCCGGTCTTATTACTATATAAATAGTCACTCTTTTAACACTAAATAATTGTCTACTTACGTCATCTTTGAAATTTTGTTGCTTATGGTTTCTATCTATAACTCGAAGTCACGGTAATAAAGTGTGTTCAGAAATTCTGTAACTTATCACTGATTTATATAAGATGTACGTTGTTGAAGAGAATCTACGGAATAAAAAGAGCTCGTATTATCCTGCGAATATGTTCATTCTTTCTTGAACCAATAAAGAGAATTGGCTGTTTGAAAAAAATATATATACATATATATCGTAACTATGCGATAGATGGTGGTACCGATTATCCTCTTGCGGCTTTAGCTTTGAATTTCCAATAGCAGTGGTTTTTAGTCTAACAGGGTGAGTTGCTAGTCTCACGTCCAACCTTTCAGCTTTATCGGGCTTATCACAAGCTAATAGAGGTTTTGGATAGCACCGGCGGGGGATAGAACCCCGGACGACATGCGTGGCAGGTGAGTATTCTACCATTGCGCCAGAGACTCCCTTCACGAGCCCTACAGCTAGCTAAAGGCTACCAAAAAATTCTGAAAGCACTAGGGAAACATCCATTTTATCATGTGATATGTCAGTACATTTCTCTTAGGTAAAGTCAATAAACAACTGGAAATTTACAAATTCCTTTAATTTGCGTGTGTTTTTCAGCTGAACTAATGATTTCAATTTTTATATTAATTTTAGCTTGCTTCATTTTATTTCTATGATTAGTTTTATAAGAACATTATCCTTATAGAAGTATACCTCTGACATAAAGCAGAAGTACACACGAACTAATGCTCATGAACTTCGCTATTCAAACAAATATTAAATCGATAAATGCATTCTTTGTTTTGCGTGAATCAATGAGCTGAATCATCTTTCACAACAATAAAAAAAACAACACTTGAGCTTATCAAAAAAATTAAAGATACAACAAGAAAATACTTTATTTAACACTTCATCAAAAGTGTGTATATACTGTTTGACATTAATACTAAAACAAACATTAGTGACAGTATGAACAGTGTGATGTGAATATGCGTACTGCTTATTTTATGAGCCAACTGATTTAGTTAAATAATTTAACAGCATTAGTGGACCAATTTATTTAATCACAAATTTTAAGTATACATATTTGCAATTTGTAGGCTGTGTAAAAACCACCTCGTTTTGTACACCTCCCCTGAGCTAAACGATACTCGAATGTTTGCTGATAGAGAGTTAACTTGATCACTTTGCTTTCAGTTATCTTCGGCTTTTCGTCACTCGAAGATTTCACGGTAATGAAGACTGTCTAGTGGAATGTAGAGAAAAGCTCATTGGCAAATTTATCCATTCTAATATTTATCTTGATACATGACTACCCTATCAGAAGCTAAGTTTGTCGCTCCTACTGCAGTATTAGATCTGAGTGGTTTAAATATCTCATTCTGAATAAGTACTTTATTGATTTAGGCTAAAACCTACTTAATGGTGTGATAGTGAGAAGGTATAATGTTCTTTATTCTGAAAATTACAATATGGAACATACCTGCTGCGTTGTATTTACATTCTGTAATGCTTTTGATGTAGGCTTTATGGTTAAGATGTACAGTTTAAGGATCGTAAGAGCTATTTATATCGATGGAATTATTATTTTTAAAAGTTAGATTTGACAGCCATTTACGCCAACCAGTCGAATTTTTATGAGTGAATTACTAGGGGAACAATTAGCCAAGATCTCATTTAGAAGTCAGGGTCAGTAGGGTTCATAAAGTCATCGTATTTGATATCAGTTTGTGGTGGTGCATAATGACATAAGCTATTGAATTCGGAATAGCAAAGTGCTCATCTCGTTTTCTACAGGTCCTTGATAAGGTTGGCGGGGGAGGAATAGATAACCAGTGGGTATTACTGGACAAGTCTCAGACAAGGAAAAGAAAGACGTTCAGTGGTACTTGAAGTGACAGCAGTTCATGACAAAATTTACTTTGACATGACTGCTATTATTATTATTACTGTTATATTGCAAAATCAACCTTTACAATTCAGTATAATAACTCACTTTAATTTTTGATGCTGCTCCAATAAATTTATTTACGAAGTGGATTAGAATAACACCAGTACTTAATTCAATGGCTAAGTGTTTTGGATTAACAGGCAACCGAATATTCAATTCTTTATCAATTATCTAAACAAAACGATTACATAAATAAAATAAAATTAGAACAAATGAATACAACTTTTGAATATTCGATTAGAAACAAAAAGATAAAATAACGTATTTAGTGTTATAGACTTGCTGCTTTCGCACAATTGGTTAACAGCTATTTTCATTATTTCACTTTGTAGCGATTTGAATAATTTCAGCGTTGATTTTATCTCCAGCAGAAAATCAAGGAGCACTTGACAGAAAATAGAAAACGTTCTTTGCTCTTACCGTGAAGGGAATGAATTCGCTTAATGTAGGTGTAGAGCTTGGGCACTGTGGAATAATGTAATTCACGACTGAATTGCTAGCTACCCACCAGAATTGATTCAGAAGTGTACGAAGATGCATAAGAAAAATATAGGTAATAGTGACAATGATGAAAATAACATAAATAATATGGAATTCGAATCCTCGAAGAAAGAAATATCTGAGGCCCTCAGTAGGATCCTTAATGAGGTTGGAATTAGTGTACCTCTTAAACCAACCAACTCTCTAAGAAATAAAACTTGCCGGCGGTAGGGCCCGGTAGATCCTAGGTTTTCCAATGGTTCTCTATCCGATGTCAGCTCATGATGAAACCCTCCAACTAATCAAACACAATCCCTATTAAACCAATACTTGAAAATGAATCTTATGCTCACTAGCGATTGGCCCTCTTCAGGAAGTTAACCTGAGGTTCTAGGGAGAAGCCGTGACCAGTAGGGTAAAGCAGGTTGAAGGTGAGGCAGTAACTCATTCAAGAAGACATTGCGAAGTGGTCGCGCTATATCATGAATCGGCAGTAGTTAAAATTCATGGGCTGACCATTGGATCGGGTCCCAGTGGCTTAATGATCTACGAGCTAGCTCGCCTTGTAACCAGAAGGCTTTGGGATCGAACCCCGGTGGTTTCGTACTGATAAAGGGTCTGAAACTAGGACGAAGAGGCTGTCCAGTTCCCTTAGGTCTTCCAATGGTTTTCTAACTGATGCCAGCTCATAATGTTATCCTCTAACCAATCAAACACAATCCCTACAAAACCAATACTTGAAAAATATCATAATTTACCAAATACCACGTAACGACTTTGAAGTCAATTACATAGATTAAACTAGTAGATCGGAGTCAGCTAGATTACTGAAGCATAAAAATTTAGCTATACCTTAATGATTGACCCTGCTGACTCAAGTAACCTAGAAAAAAGCGCAGCTATTGCGTTGTATTCACTTGCATGTAACCACAAGTTATTGTGGGACAGTGTAAAAGCATCACAGAGTAGTATAGTTAGGTGGAAAGACAGAGGCTAATCAATCGAACAATCGATTCTAAACCGCAAAAGGTGCAAATGAAATGGCGCAACAGCTTTAGAGGAGATACAGAAAATTACCACAAATAACAAGAGGAAGAGAGAGATATAGAGAAAAATATATTCATACATATGAGGTAAATTATGAAGGCGTGTGACAAAATTGATATAATTGTGAGCAATAACTTTTGCCTGAAACGCCACCCAGTTATTAATACTGCATCACTACGAGTTAAATTAAACGAACTTATCGAATTTAGAATGAATTCTATTTTTAGTGAGATCATTCAGACGGACTGCTGAAGAGTGTCCAGGTAGGATAAACAGCTGTTCAGTTCTACCCAGTTTTTTTCCTAGACAATGCTGATTAGCGGTGAAATTCACACTGGAAAGTTCTTCGTTATTATGCAGTTAGTGATTAACCCACATAAATAATAATTATTTGAATTTCAAGGTAATCAGTCCACATGAAAACATTATGCATTCTGAAACTTCTTAATATTCTGACCTATAAAAATATAAACTACTTGAACAGATGTTGGCTTCAGTATTCATAGAATATCTAGGCAAATAAAGCTTGTTAAGAAAAAATATAGCTACAAAAATGAGTTTTACGATAGATAGATAGAAATGGAATGTCTGATCTGAAATGTTACTGACATCATTTTTTCACTCTGCAAATACAATAGTATGAGAGGAAATCCTGCTGCTTTAGATTATATTTCCTTTTACCTCTGTTGGGTGGATTTTTCTTCTCGTTCATTTTACTGAAGTAATTTATCTACTTATTCATATGAATGTCATTAAAGGACATTATGATAAAACCATCAGTTTCTTTTTTGTGTTGCTGTTGCCTCATATTGATGTTAATCTCTATTTTGCTCAGTTTCTGCCGAACGGATGTGACTGCAATCCACTGGGTAGTCATTTCCACTACTAAGGCGTGACAATCGCTCTAAATAACGTATCTACTGACAAACGAGGCAATAATCGGTATTTCAATTTTAGTAGGTTTTGACCATTATTTACGTAGGTTTAAACAACTGATTGAAATTTTTTCAATCCAATGATGATAAATTATTATTATATTATTGTATCCTTTAATTCCTAGATGAACATAGAGCTTCAGCCGTGCGTCTCCATTGCGTTCGGTTCTCTGCTAGAGTCTTCACCTGGCTCCAAGTCTGCCCACACGTTTTCATCTCCTCTTCACATGACCTCCTCCAAGTCACCCTCACACTGACGACCAACTCGCCATTTCCCTTTCGGGTTCCACTCGAGCAATGGCTTGTCTAGTGATGTCACTTGATGGCTTGTTTCCTCAGAGTATGGCCAATCCATCTCCATTTCTTCCTGCCTATTTGTTTCACAATCGGTTCCTGGTTGGTTCGCTCCCAGAGATCTCTGCTGCTGATCTTTTCTGGCCATCTGATCTTGAGTATTGAGCGAAGACAACTGTTAATGAAGGTCTGTAGTTTGTTTGAGATGCTCTTTATGACGCGCAGTGCAAGTCTCTGATCCGTATAGTAGCACTGACTGACTTCACATTGGAGTTGAAAATCCGGATCTTATTTTTGATGCTGAGAGTTGTTGACCTCCACACAGACTTGAGAGTAATGAAAGCTTGTCTTGCTTTTCCGATTCTTGCTTTGATATCCTCGTCAGTTCCGCTGGCCTGTAGTTGAAACGATGCTTCCCAGTGGTGGGTAGGTAAAGTAGGTTGTTTCTTTCAGGTTCCTCCCATTTATGCTGATTGTTGTCTGTTGTTGTTGTTGGTGTTGACCAGGAATCTTCATCACCTCTGTTTTCTCTATGTTCACCTGAAGTCCTATCTTCTCTGGATGCTTCTTCTGCCAACTTGTTGCTTTTCACTTGCATATCTTCCAGTTTGTGGGAAATCAGACATATATCATCGGCGAAGTCCAGATCCTCCAAGTTTTTTGTGTGAGTCCATTTTATGCCTGTTTCCTCATTGCCCGCTGTTTGTCGCATTATCCAGTCTACTGCAATCAGGAAAATCATTGGCGATAGTAGGCAGCCAGCTTGTCTTACTCCTGTCCTCACTTCGAAGGATTCCGTAAGTTTCCCATTGTGGATTACTTGGCATGCAGCATTGTCGTACAGCTGTTGGATGAGATGTATAATTGTCGGTGGCACCCCATAGTAGCGAAGTAGTTTCCAAATCACCTCTCGATCGACGCTGCCTATCGAAGGCCTTTTCAAAGTCGATGAAGTTGAGATAGAGAGGTGACTGCCATTCCAAGCTTTGTTCAATGATGATCCGTAATGTGGCGATCTGATCAATGCATGACTTGTTTCTCCTGAATCCAGCCTGTTCCGGTCGAAGTTTTTCATCCAGGTTGGCATGTTTGATTCTCTCCAGGATGATGCGGCTTAGTATTTTGCTTGGGATGGACAGGAGCATAATTCCGCGCCAGTTCTTGCATTGACTTAGGTCTCCTTTCTTTGGTAGTTTGAATAAGTATCCTTTCTTCCAATCTTCAGGTACTTTGCCTTCTTTCCACACCTTCTCCAGTAGTGGCGTCATCAAGTCCGCTGTTGTCTCTGGGTCCATTTTCAATGCTTCTGCTGGGATTCCATCTGGTCCTGCTGCTTTTCCAGCTTTTAGCATCTTGATTGCCTTCAGGACTTCTGATTTCGTCGGGGGGTTGGTGTTCACTGGTAGCTCTGTCTCTGTTGTTGGTATTGTTAGGCGCGTTGTCGGTGGTGGTCGATTTAGGAGTCTTTTGAAGTGTTCAGCCCAGTGTTTCCTTTGCTCCACTTCTTCGGTGAGGGACTTTCCATTGTCATCTTTCACCGGCTTGATTTGTGTCAAACTTTTGCCCGATAGGTACCTAGTAGTTTGGTAGAGTGTTGCGAGATCTCCTCTGCCTGCACCTTGTTCTGCTTCACTTGCCATGGTTTCATAATACTTTCTTTTGTCTTCTCTGGCACTCTTCTTTACTCTTTTGTTCAGTGTCTTGTAGTTTGCATTCAAATCCTGTTTTTGTTGCTCGTCGGTGCACTGGGGAATCTTTTGTTTCACCATCCTTCTCTCTTCTATCAGTCTCCAAGTGTCCGTAGTGAGCCACTGTTTGTCCTGTCTCTTCTTTCTGCATAGAACTTCCATTCAGGTTTGACTCCACACTGTTTTCAAGTTGTTCCAGTGCTTTTCGATGCTGACCTCTTCGCCAGTGTTGATTTGTGTTTCGGCTTTGTCTTTTATACTTGCAGTGAAGATGTCCTTTGTGTCCTGGTCCTTCAGTTTTTGAGTGTTGAACTTGGCTTGTGGTCTTGGTGATAAATTCGTTAACAGTAATTAGTCAGTATTAATATGTCAAGACGGTGATGACTAACCAAGAAAATTAATACAACAAGTGGATTGCATAATGCACAGTTTTGACGAAAAAGCGAGTAATTAAGGAATAAGCTAGTGTTCAAGTCGACTTCGTAATAGGTAATTAAAGAAAAATAAAATATTCAAGTATTGGTTTTGTAGGGATTTTTGTTTGACTGGTTGGAGGATTTCATCATGAGCGCTATGTCATGAGTTGGTAGAAGTTAGAATTCATGGGTTGGCCATTGGATCGGGTCCCAGTGGCTTAATCGTCTGCGGGCTAGCTCACAATGCAACCCCGGTAGGTGAGTATTGATGGAGAGTCACAAACTAGGACGAAACAGCTGTTAAGTACTCCTAAATTTTCCAGTCGTTTGTTAACTGATCTTAGCTCATAATGAAGTCCTCGAACCAATCAAAAATGAAATAATTTCGATAGTGATAACTTGTAAATTGTCGGGTTTTTATATTCCTCTAACGATAGTGAAAGTGAAGAAAGTGGCCGCACGTATTGCTTGTGAACACACATGTTTAGCTTCTTCAAGGGGATTCAAATGGTTTCCGCGGTATGTAGGAGACAAACTCGTAAAGCAAAATTAATAGTATTCGGAATGAGATAGATAACTTTAAATGATGTATAAACATCAACTTTATGCTGACTGTCTACAAGGTGTGTCAAAACACATCATTGGAAAGTGAATTTAATTAAGATGGTATAAGCAACTCAATCTAATAGATTGAATCAAAGAATACAATGACACAAAATTGATCACGATAACTGAATACATAGACTATATGTACTTTCAATGAATAGGCTATTCGAGGTCTGTTTTGAGATATAGTCAAACTCAGATGATTGTGCTGAATCGAGCAAAGTCTACATCATAAATAAAATTTTTATCTAATCACTCATTACCACAAAAAATGTTTTTAACATGACTTACACGTCTAAGTTGATGAATTTTATTCAACTCTTCAGGGTATAATTCCTCCCACTTGATAATATGATCAATTTTATTCAATTCCAGACGTCCTGGACTGTCCATCCGCTTGTTTTCAGTTTTTGTATCATTATTTTTGCTAACAAAAACTGCAGTAGATGATATATTTGAATTTAAATGACATTTGTTGATTTTTTGAAGACCATTACTTGAGTAATTAGGAGGAGGGGATTTGAGAATAGGCTCAGTAGGAATATACATAGCGACACCAACACGAGCTATATCATAGCAGTTATTCTTGTCTGCGGCATTTTTATGTGAATGACAGGAGTCTTTATAATAATACATTTGATTAGTATTTGAGGGAACGTTAGGACATCGGCTGGAACTTCGATGTGGTATGCTATATTTTCCTGAGTACTGTGAACTATGTGATATACGAGAGGCATCTGAATTAAGGAATTCGTCTGGCACCATCTAAGATGAATCAAATAAGGCAACGTGGGAGATAATTGAGACACTAGCTGAAACAATATGATAATTGTTTACATGACTTTGACTTTTCTCTAAAAAATTTATTAATTTCGAATTCCGTTTTCAAGACAACAAATGTTTCTAACAATAGTTTATGACAACTGTGGCATGCGTCTGACACTATTATTTCTCGTTTTTCTGATTTAACTTTTTTATTACTTCTCTATACAGTTGCGAAAGTGAACCTTTTATTTTCTTGAATTACCAGTATTCACCAAATATCCATTCAAAAATAAATTAATTTCCTTTCAGGTGGTAGACCTAAACGGTTTCAACTGATTTCAAAAATAATCAGTTATAGTACCACTGGATACCAGGAAGCAGTAGGCAGCTGTTTCATCCCAGTTTGGGACCCTTTAGAAGTATGGACACTGGTAATAAGACCCAGGTGTTTCCCATCAGGTTTCCATTCCTGATTTGTTCATATTTGTGTACACCTGAAGATCCACAAAATAGGAAAGGACAGATAGATTCACTATTCCCAAGGTTCCAATGGTCCTTCAACGGATTTTTGTTAGTGACAAAATCTACCGTGAAGACAACAATATGCATGTATGACTATTAACCTCATTTCCAATTCTATTTATTAGAGTTTAAATTTATTCACATATCCTGATCAAATTGAAACTCAACGCATTGTCATCGAACAAAGTATAGAATGGCAGTTAAACGTCTACCTCAATTTCATCGACTTCGGAAGTGGCTTTGACAGCGTTGACCGTAATTTGGAAACTGCTTCAACATTATGACAACGCCACGTGTCAGATGATCCAGAAAACAGAAAACTCAGTGAGACTTTCGAAGTGATTACAGGAGTAACACAAGGCTGCCTGTTATCACCAATGATGATATTCCTTATTGTGCTGGAGTGAATTATTCGTCAGAAGACAGGAATACGCTGCACTGACCGATAAGAAGACTCAAGAAGATTTATGGAAGATTTATGCTTAATGTCACACAAATTCAAAGACTTCCAGGTGAAAACCAACAAACTGGCTGGCTATAGAAGCAGCCAGTGAAGGTCGGACTCCAGGTAAACATAGAGAAGACGGAGGTGACGAAGATAACCAACCAACCAAAAACAACAGTGGCAACAACCAGCACCAATCACCATCAAAGGGAGAGAATTGACAAAGGTTACATCCTTTGCTTATCTAGAAAGCACGGTTTCAACCACAGGTGGAGTGGATGAAGACGTCAAAGCCAGTCAGAATGGGAAAGGCAAGATATACCTTCATCAACCTGAAACCTGTTTCGAAATATCCTGCACCGCACCCAGCAGCATAAAGAACAAGATTCGGTTCTTCTATATGGGTCACAAACTTGCAGTACGTGTACGAAGATCGCCAAGAAGTTACGGGCTTTTATCAACAGGTGCCCCCTTTGCTGGCTGGCTCTATACTGAAGATCAAGTGACCAGCTGGCCAAAAATAGTTAGCAACAAGAAACTCTTGCTGGCAGAAAGCTACCAAGAGCCGATTGCTCAACAAATATGTTGGAGAAAATGGAGATGGGCATACATTCAGGAAACGATCGAATGACATCGCTCGCAAAGCAGGCCACGGCTAGAGTGGAATCCCAATGGGAATCGACGATCGGGTCGTCGGTGCGAGGCTAACATGGAGGAGATCATTTAAGGTGCGGAGATGAGAGAGTATTGGCAACCGTGGACCCAGCTGAGGAGGACGGCAGAAAATAGGACAAAGTGGAGATGTTTTCTTGAAGCCCTAAGTTGCACTTTGAAGCAAAGGGAATAATAATATTATCATAACACATGCAAGTAGTAAACACACATTTATTCGACATTTTAGTCGAAAAATGCACTGTTAATTATGATCACTATGAATAGAGATACTCTGAGATGTTTGATGTGGGCCTTTTATTCTTAAATTTAACCATACTGGCGTGTAAGCAAATACTCTAGTGGACAGTACTCAAAATGGACTTGGGTATTATCATTCAAAATTTCCTTCCACATAGTGAACATCTCTGATTTTTTGTGACTGCAAATTACACTTTTGTCTGTTCACGGATAATAAAATGTTCAAGTTACATTAAGCTTATAGACTTGAGTCTTGTAATATAATTTCAATTCAGTAGTCAAATATACGAAGAGATAATGCGAAGACTTATGAGATCACCCGTATAAACGCTAGATGCTTAACCTCCGGTGATACTAGTAATTACAGTCTTGTAGACTATATACTCATCATAATTTGGAAAAATGATTTGGAAACAATCTTGAAACCCAGTTGCAATACCATTACGGGTAAATTTTATTTTGATAGAGTCTCACAGTGTTATACAGTAATATTTACTGATGACGTTTCGAGCACAATTTATTGCTCATTATCATATCAAGGTAATCACACGACTTCCTAAATTCATTTATATAGTTCCATTGTTTTTCACTTGATTTGATTGGTAGTATTATTTTCCATATTTCGGGTATGAGTGATGATTCATTCCTATTGCATGTGTTGGGTGTAGATTCGATGAACAGGGATTCAGTAATCAACCTCTCCCTCCACCTACCTAGATTACTTTTTAGAATTTTAACCCTCTCCCACCCTATTGTGTGGTTGTGTGTTAATGCATGCATTGCAATTGCCGAGCTTTTTTCTAAATTACTTATCTTCTCTGGGTCAACCATTCTTACCTTAGCTAAATTCTTATGTTCTGACAATCTGACTACCCCTGACCTACTAGTTTGACCTATGTAGTTGACCTTACTCACAGTCATTGCAGGGTATTTTGTAAATTATATTATTTTGTCTAATTGGGTCCACTGGGTCTTTTAACCTACAGAGCTTGTCCCTGAGTGAGTTTGTAGGTTTAAATGCCACCCTAATTCCTGCTTTATTTAGAATCCTACGTAGGGTCTCAGATGTCCCCTCTTTATATGGTATAACTGTAGATGACTTATATTCTCTCTTATTTATGTTATTATTACTAGTTTCACAATTCATTTTCTTTTTCTTTTGGCCTTTCTCAATCTTCCTAGTGACAATAACAAACCGAGCAATGGCACTAAGTAGCACAAAAATAGACCTAAATGATGAGATAAAACAGATAGAAGAGGCGTTGGTGTTAAATAACTATCCTTTAAAATTCATTAGGAAGATTGAGAAAGGCCAAAAGAAAAAGGAAATGAATTGTGAAACTAGTAATAATAACATAAATAAGAGAGAATATAAGTCATCTACAGTTATACCATATAAAGAGGGGACATCTGAGACCCTACGTAGGATTCTAAATAAAGCAGGAATTAGGGTGGCATTTAAACCTACAAACTCACTCAGGGACAAGCTCTGTAGGTTAAAAGACCCAGTGGACCCAATTAGACAAAATAATATAATTTACAAAATACCCTGCAATGACTGTGAGTAAGGTCAACTACATAGGTCAAACTAGTAGGTCAGGGGTAGTCAGATTGTCAGAACATAAGAATTTAGCTAAGGTAAGAATGGTTGACCCAGAGAAGATAAGTAATTTAGAAAAAAGCTCGGCAATTGCAATGCATGCATTAACACACAACCACACAATAGGGTGGGAGAGGGTTAAAATTCTAAAAAGTAATCTAGGTAGGTGGAGAGAGAGGTTGATTACTGAATCCCTGTTCATCGAATCTACACCCAACACATGCAATAGGAATGAATCATCACTCATACCCGAAATATGGAAAATAATACTACCAATCAAATCAAGTGAAAAGCAATGGAACTATATAAATGAATTCAGGAAGTCGTGTGATTACCTTGATATGATAATGAGCAATAAATTGTGCTCGAAACGTCATCAGTAAATATTACTGTATAACACTGTGAGACTTATCAAAATAAAATTTACCCATAATGGAATTACACTCTACCACAGTGCCCAAGTTATATTCTTATACCAGTTGCAATACATATAGCGACATCAAATTCACAGGGGAAAAAAGATAACAAAACTACTTTCTTAGGTGTCATGATGAAGAGAATCACCACAGGACAATTAGCCAGGCAAACATACCTGCTGAAACAAATGTCACTCACTGGGCAATTCAATCACATCATTCGATACTATGCAAAAGAAAAGAGCCAAGAGCAAAGGGAGGCGAAACCCACGTAATCCGCCAGATAAATGAAAAATCATGTTAGTCGATCGAATATGACGTCCACTTCCTCTTCACATCTACTCAAATTAACTAGCATTTAGACAAAATTACGTACATTCCTTTATGTCATTTTGGATACACACCTATAGACACCTATTCAACTGGATAAATGTCAAACTTTTAAACAGTGAAAGTACCAAGAATACTAAAGAACTAGTCTTCCAATGAATTGCCATTTAAAAGAAATGTTGAAATGCATCGAAGCTACAAATGAACAAAGAGTAGCTTAAATAGTCAGAAATTTGAATATCAGGTCAATGAAAAACATATCTAATTCAAACATATAATCTCTTTTAATATGGCCTCTAGTGCAGACGCTTCCACTGCACCTTGAGATTAATGTGGTTATACTTAGTTGATGGTGGTTGCGCATTTCATCCTATTTGACATTCCTCACCTGGATATACCTGCATCCCCACTAAGTGATGATGTTCCCTCTGTGAATAAAATCTAGGGTGCTGGCTTCCACTCTGGTAAACACCACCACCCACCGCTTAACATCGCAAAGAAATTATTTTCCCATGAATAAGTAGGTGGTTTTTTCAAAGCATGATTTATAATACACTGACATGAGATAAAAGTTCAAGGAATTTCTGACTAATTATTATACTTCGCTAAGTGTAAATAAACACAATTGCATAATTTAACAGGAATCATACACTTATATAAACTTTTTCTGATGACTGTTTCATTTATAAAAACAATACCAACAAATGTGAGAAACAGACAGGTATAATGAATATTTTTAAACAAATTAACAACTCATGTTGCCTTATTTTCAACACTTTCCGTATATGATCAAATGCTTTCAAAAAATCCATTTCTACTTAAAATGACATTCAGTCTGCACCAAACAAAGGACTAGACGCAGTATGCCAGTTACTAACTACCTAGTTTACAATCAAAGTATCTGATGCAGACCTACAGCAGATCTATCGTTTGCCTGAATAGCTCAGCAGCGACATCTCTGACTTCAGCACTGGGTGACACAAGTTCGAATCTCAGAGGGGACGCGAATTCCTTAAAGCTTGCAGATACGCCTTGCTGACTCGTGAATGTCGATAAGCACGAAACCTAGGTCCAAGGCGTTCTGACGATTGCCTCCAACCATCCAATGGCAACAGTTCAGTGTGCACGCTGATGGCGGCCACCTAGCATGGTGGCCACATTGCAAAGTTGAGTAATAGAATTCAATCCGCAACAAACAAAGGACTAGACGAAGAACACTAGATACTTACTGCCTGGTGTCCAATCAAGACAGGAATGTTTCATTAATTCTGATAAGATTTTTATGTACAATTCAGAAAGCCGCATGGAGAAGTTATAGTCATTATCATAAGCCATATACCTTGATGTAACGATAGGATAAACGGATTAATAATTGCTCGTTGAATAACAACAACTATACCTATCCAGCCATTCCCATGCATGCTGTCCGATACCTACTGATCATTTGTGGTCAACAAGCTAAGTAACGCAACGTCATTGTGCATCAACACGCATTGTTAGTTCATATAAAAGGAATCCATCCTAAGTGTTACTCAGATAAACAAATAACACTATTTCATAGTGTAATACATTTAACAATGGAGGTAGAAAAAAAATTAAACCCTACCATAGTGCAAACATTCTACTCTTATATTACCTTACTACCATATAGCAGTAACTATTGGTTTTAATAATGTCAACATTATGGACACTTGGACCTTGAACATATGAAAATTATGTGAATGATTCATTTATAACTATTGAGAAATGCTCAATACATAAAACACTTATTGAATAATTTTAATTTATAACTTTAATAGGAGAGATGCATTTAACTTATACAGCTAAGGTCAGATAAATAAGTATTTTGTAATTATGTACTTATTACTTAGAATTCAGCTATCCGGAACACATATTTCATGTGATAGGCCATGAGCTGAATTTATTTGGAGAAAGCTGATAACATTACGCAACTGCCCAAGCTGAACTACTTGCAGCAAAACACAAATCCTAAAATTATTAACTGAAAGTTGAGTACTAGGGCGAATTTAATTAAACTTGTATGAAATGCATTAGCCTTCAAAAATAATGAGTAGTTTTGTGGATTGGTTAAGAACCTGAGACAGTCTTTATTATACAAATATGAAAAAATCTTACAACAAAGAATAACTTATTATTATTGTTATTCCTTTGAGTTCTTGCTGAAACTCAAGGTTTTAACAGCAGACTACAATTTCGCCCTGTTCTGGAAAGTTTTCTTGAGTCGTCTAAACAATATTCCATAAGTTTTCAGACGGTCGAGTCGCCCTTTTCCATTCAGGTCCCACTGAAGGGTCTGGTGAACAATGTTACCCAACGATCTCCTGAATATCTATCTGGTCCATCCCAACTTCTTTTTACATGTTTTTTGAGCAATAAGTTCTAGGCTGGTCAGTTGAAAATTTGCATTTTGTTCCCAATGCTGAGTACAGTATATTTACTCACTAATTTCAGAGTAATGAAAGTTTGTCTGTCTCTCTTCGATATTCTCAATCGTGTAGCCTTTAGTTGTATAGATGCTGTCTAGGTCAGATAAATGGAAGATATGACTTCTTTTAGATTTCCCTCGTTGACGACGATTGGTGCTTGTTATTGGTTGCTAGATATCTTCTCTATGTCTAACGGAAGTGCAGTCTTGGCAGCGTCTTCTGGCAACTTATAGTACTTAGTACTTTTCGCCTATTACACTAAATGGTTATTGGTGTTGACTGAAGTCAGTTGGACAAGCATAAAATTAATCCACGAGGCTGAATGAAATTCCACTATATATGATTATTTTAGATGTTAGGATTCAAACGGTGGTACAGCATGTATCTTGTTTATTTACACTTGTTCGTAAGGTGTGGAAACCTGTTATCCCACTCAAGACTCCAATTTTTTAAGGAGATAAAACAATTCAGACTGCAGTAGACCTGTACAGGAATTTGTTTAACAATGAGAAACTGATATGTTTATCCTGCATATTTATAAAGCTGGTATTATGATTAGTCAGCTTTTATACTTATTTTCTAAACACATCATCCAGCTTCATTCTTTTAATTTAAATGAATGGATTTCAAGTTTGCTCTTCAGATTAGTGTCTTTGAATGAATCATAAATACGGTTGTTACAGCCCGCTAAAGAAATACTGCAGTCTGGACACATGTGTAAAAACAACTTTTAACCATGTTCTAAAACAAAAACATATACAGGTCAACATATCAAATAAATAGACAAGTAAACAGCATTATTTATTAAGACAGCAGTATAATGAAAGATAAAGGATGAAAGCAATCGGATATATGCTAATTTTAAACTAAGCAGATATACATTGTTCACTAACCTGTTGACGTTTAGACGAGCGGAAACGAGAAGAATTAGTAAGACGTCCTGCTTTAACACGTCTATCGTATTTACCACTCATGTGCTTTGTTGTAGAATCTTTAGTATGATCACTAATTATTTCTTCTGCACTCGAAGATGAACTTTCATTCTCGTTAACGTAACTATTCACTCTTTCTACAATAGAAGATTTTGATGATACTGCATCGTTTTCATTGGAAATTATTGACAATATAGGCGTTGCTGTGTTTACATTACAAGCAGAAGTTGGATTTTCAACTGTAAACAAAGACAGAGAGAAGTCAATTGGTCTAGCTAATAGATGAAAAATCAACCGGAAAAAGTATATACAAAGAGAATTAACCATTAACTGTGCTATAAAACTGTTCATGAATACACGCACCTCATCAAGGAATATCTCAGTGAACATTTTAGATAGTGTTGCATATATGCATGCAATATAATCGTTGAATAACTAAAACGTTAGCATTGTGTGTTGGATGTCTGAAGATGAATGGAAAGGCACAAAAGCCTACGTCAAGGTGGGAATCAGCCATGCATGGAATTTATAATATGCCAAAAAAACTGGCATTTGAGACTAAAATAATACGAATCCCGAAAGCACATCGTCTAAAAAAGACGCGAATTGACTTTAATCATTAACTCTGCAAAGACAAATGTAGAAAATATGATAAAATTTATATAATCAAAGTAAGGTGCGTCGGTGACTTAGCGTTACAATGCCCACCAACCACGCACGTGGTTCAGGGTTCAGTACCCGGCCGACGCACTCCTTTACCTCGTTAAACCGGTAATAAAACCGGTAAAGACGGGAGATTGGGCATGAGGCTAGCAACCCCATCCATTGCTACCAAGACTTCAAAGCTTCTAGCTTGAAGCCCTATGTTCAGCTGGGAACGTAAAGATATTAAATAAAATAATAATAAAAAATCAATAAAGTAAACTTAGGATAAAAGGCTATATCAGTTGCAGGAACGTTTAGTATTGAGATTCTTAATAATGTTGATAAAAGAATACAACTTGTCAATACGTTGATAACTCACCAATAAGTTCCTTGATAGTTTTTTCTACTTGCTGCGGAGTATGTAATTTTAAACTCTCATTGGTACTTTTTTTCTTTTCAAAGACCATATTCTAAAAATGAGAGTAAAATAAATCACTATGAGAACATACAAGTTGAAGATATGGCCTTAGGCAACTAAACTATCATTTCAAAGTACACATTCAGTAGCAAATATTTCCTTTGACAATGTTATACCAAGAATTCGCAGATGTCTTAGTGATCTTTTGGGAAGGAAACAAAACATTTTAGGGACTATTTCTTTATGAATTCTTCATGGTACACTAGATAGGATGAGACATCTATCCGTTACTAAACAATGGTCAACTACCTGTGTATAAATAAATCTTTGTAAAAATGTGAAGCACCCTGCTTGTTTAACGATGAATTTAAACTGCTAAGGGTAATCGCTTTATGTTACATGAGAACATCATTTCCAATATCAACTACTCCGACTCAGAAATAACCTAACTTCTGTTTACCGGTAGTTTTAGTGTTATTTCTATTTCACTTCTATTTTATACATTACAAAACACAGCATCAATTCATGAAATCCTTGAATGTCAGTTGGAGCCTAGTAGGAAGGTGTAGACTGTTGGCTTGCTTGGGGATCTCAGTCTCAGTAGCGTAGATGTATTCACTCTTTTTAATCTCACATATCCACTAAAACTACATGTTCTTCTATGTTACTGTCCTTTCTCCCACATTTTTCTTTTTTACTCTGTTTTATCTATCTTTGCGTGTTACATGGAAGGTGGCAACTTGAACTGTTGGACTTCTGTGCAAGATTCTATTTTGGAACTCACTGAGTCAGTCAGGCATATGTTACAAGTATATTGTAGAAAGCGTGTAGTGTATTGAACGATAAACATTTCTTTATCCCCCGAGGTATCATTATTAATGCGAGTGAATTAGAGGGGAAATGGAAATGAATCATCATCCCATGTGATAGGAAATATATACTGAATCATAAAGTAAAATCATATGACAATAAACAGTTAATACAAGAAAATGTGTATATTCTTTTCGTCAATCAATTTAATTGCTAAATCTTTATTAATACAGTCGAACAAAAAGATTCAATTGAAGTAATCTCAGTGTGAACAAATGAAATAAGAAAGCACCGCTAATGATAGCCGAGCTTATACAACAATACTTCACAATCACCCTATCACTGTGTTAGTTTCAATGAATGAATCCGCCTTTGATAATTTCATTGTTTCTACATCTACAGGGCGCAGACTGCCAAACGGTGGTGGATCCCACACAAAATCAAATTCACAATTTACAAATCGATTAGCAGTTTGTAATCTAGACAGTTCGAGTGGTGAAATTCCAGCACAGTTTCCTTTGGAAACCAGGTTATTCAGATCACAATATGTAATCAGCTTGATGCCATATATGGTAATAAAGAAAGCAAGCGTGTTCGCACAAATCTGAATACCGCTGACTGATTGAGATGAGTAGTCGCAAACTGCTCATATCAACCAGTGGTCCTTGCTAGACAGGCCGAAGTGATTTAAACACCGGATGTCCATTTTGCTCGTTCGGGGTCAAGTGCATCAGTAGTGTACCTGCTTTGACTCAGCTAACAGAGCGAAGTCAGTTAAAACCACCCACCCGCCATTATAATGTTTGATACCAGAAATCAGTAATCATTGAGTAATACAAATGTAAATGGAAAAGGAAAACAAAACAGCAAGGATTTCAGAAGATGAGTATTTAATTTCCTTTCAGAAAGGGAAAATATCACCATTCAGCTTGAGAATAAAATCAGAAGTGGCTATTTAGGTTTTATGAACAATCACGTTCAAAGGTGGTAGAGGAAATCGTATAAAAAACGTGCTCCTGGAAATAAAATACGCATGAAATGACTCTTTACACATCCTGGAAGACTCAGCGTATCAGTTAGAACTTAAAACTGTTATGTTCACTAGTGTGGTAATTATCACACTATTGTGACTGTTTCCTTTAAAGCGTCTACGTTGATATTTGAGTACAGTTAACTTATCTCGTCCCAAAACATGATCAGATGAGTTGATAAGTGCAGCTAACCGTGACCAGTAATGAAAGCTTATCCTCTAGTACTAAAGAACTATTATAAGTAGCATTTTGGGTGGTTGCATAAATTTATTTTTCACAGTTCAGACCATAGTCTGGAAATACACGCTTCACAAAATCTGTTACTGTTAACTCCCTAATTCAAAGTCAGTTAACTATTACGAATTAAACAGATATTTAGTAGTTAATTTGCCCAATAGTTTTGTTTCGCATTATTAACAACCGATTTGCTCACTGGTGACGTTTAAATCACAGTTGGACATTAAATAATTTTATCAAAAAGTTATGTAGTTTTCAGACACAAAGACAACACCTTACTGATGAACACCAACAAACAAACCGGAAATTTCAGTGTTACAAATGACTGACCTCTTACGCCTAATATCAAATCCAATCAACATATTTCTTTGCACTATTTTTTTTTCTTTCAACTAGTTTTCGGCTATATATTATTATTATTTCTAAAAAGATAGGTATTATGTTATAACTTATCCGTTTATTAGGGTTATAGAAGTTTCGGAAAATTAATGCAAATGTATAAAATCAGTTCAATTGGTTGCAGGACTTCAGTGTGAAAACAATGAATCCCAGATTCATCCCTTTCGTGGAGTGGTGGGAAGTATCACTAAATATAAGACATGAAGTGTGACTCATATGCAAGTGCGTAAAAATAACGTGCACTAGGTAACTGATTCGCATTCATATGCTGGATATATATATATATATACGCTACTTCTAACAGATGCCTTTTGAAAACCACGCCCATCTATTTTCTTACTAATTATTATGCTGTTGAACTTTTGACCAAAAAACCACCTCACCTTTTAAGTTGATTAATACTTTTAATTATAATGTAAGACAAAAATGTAAAACGAAAACAGCAAGAATAACAACAACAATAACAACAACAAATGAAATAAACTGTTGATTATAGTTAGTTTTCACGTATTTTTCTCTTTCTTTTTCAAGTTAATAAAATGAAAGGAAAATAATGAACTCTTAGGTGAAATAATGTATGTCCAACAATTGAAATGAGAGGTAGGAGAATAAGCACATGCACGCTGTTATTGATTTATGTCTTGACAGACAAATGAATCTATTGTTTGCGTTTTCTTCAACTGATACAGTAATCGTATTTGTAGTGTATGCAGTTACAGATGAAAGGGGGAAAGTGGAAATTCCCTTTTAATTATGGATGTAAATGAGTAATACAAAGAAAAATAGGAATTAACCATTGAATGCTGATATTAGATGATGAGTAGTCATAAAAAGTGGATAGAAATATGTGTCATTTTTTCTCGCCTGTGATTATATAGACAAATATTATCGTTTCCGTTAATCCAGCTGACATTCAGCTGCTTATCAGTCACATGTTTAGGGATCTTCTTCCATATATCTCATGCATGTTTAAATATGGAAAGGAGCTATACTTTCATTGGAATAAAATGAGTTTATTTAGATACTAAAATGGTTCCTCACTTAAGTACATATGAATTCGATCCTCTGACTGTTGAACATGTAATTTATTTAAAAGTAAACAGAATCTCAGGTCAATTTCTATTGAGGATGAGCATTATTTCAAGTAGTGTTACAAACCAGGTAGGTACCACATAGTCTTTTCCGTCCCAGTTAAAGACTTCGCACCAGTAGACAGTGATATATTTACTAGAAATTCGTCAAAATACTACATTATTTATCGATAGATTACTAGATATGATAGTTCAACTACAGTAGACGTTTTCCGTTCTTAATTCTGTGCTGAACATCTCGACTGAATATCTAAGGAACTAACTGTATTGGGCTGAGTAAAAATTAAATTGGCTAAAAATACAGCACTAACTGTTTAGTGTATTACCACTTTACCTCATTATAATCATTGGATTTAATGGTTAGAAAGTCGTTCCTACTGCACTACAGCTATAGATATGTATTTTCGTTACATAAATAATAATGGTAATACTATAATCTTATTTGAAGCCTTTTCGTTTCTCATGAAAATTGTAATGTTTTTTGAAAAATGTTCTCTTCACATTGAATGTTTAAAAAAAATACTTTAATTAATACCGAAAAGGGTATGACGTGACTAGCCTTATGCCAAAATTAATATTCACTGTCGAAAATCATAAGATGTAGGCGGCTATCAGTTAGCTGTGCAAGCGTCAGCACACGTAGACGAAATTGCAAGTAAGTTGCTTTTGAATCCGCTCAAAATTTAGAGGATGTACTGGAAAGACACTTTATAGAGCTCAGAAATGTTGTTAACGCCACACACACAAACACACACATTCAAAGTGTTTGTTTCATATCCCGCTTCTTATAGAAAATGACAATAAATGATGTCTTTCAGCGGTGCATCAAACAAATGTCACTGGCATTTCATAAGAATATTAAATGTATCTAACTCATTCGTTTGAGCACCCAGCATTCAGTCGACCCGAATTCGAACCCTTCTCCGCCTACTTAAGCCTCAGTAACTTAGTAGTTCCATATGATACATGTGGTTCAATAGTCTGATAACTGAAGGAAAAAACTGTTCCGCGGTAACTGACTACTGACACAACTTCACTTCTTTCAGTCTTCATTTAAGCTGAAAGAAAACATTTTACAGTTAAAAGGATAATGCAATCCACGCGCAAAGAGGAATCCTGAAAGAGAATTGCCTTCTTAGATGCCCTCTTTACAAGAAAACCAGATGGTAGTGTAAAGAGAAATTTGCATAGGACAGAACAATATACGCATTTTCATAACTTCGTTCCTCTCCAGTACAAAAGAAATTTAGTAAGGACCCTTACCAACAGATTAAGAGGTATATGCTCAGAAGAGGTAACTGAAGATGAACTAAGGATTGTATAAGATACCTTGATTGAAAGCAGCTATCCGGAAAAATTCATCAGGAAACATATGAATAAAAAAGTTGATTAGAATTATTCACTCTCCGTAAACAAGAAGCCTTTATACTTCGCGCTGCAATTCAAGGGCGATATATCTAACAAAATAATTACGAAGAAGTTAAGAAAACCAGTTCAAACAATTTTAAATGCTGGCAAACTACAAGTCATTTTTTCTATACGATCGAGGGTGGTTCCTCAGTTGGAAGATGAAGTACCTAGACTAACCACTTCTAATTGTATCTACTAATTCAACTGCTCTGTGGAGCGAGTTATATTGACCGTTGCTCTAGGAATTGGATTTTTGGTGCTCGAGAACATCTCCCAGTATGGATAAGTAAAGGTGTAGTAAAAACCATCGACAATTCGATATTAGACCACCTAGTCCAAACCGGCCACAAAGCCAGCATTGAAGAATCCTTCTCTATCATCTACCGGGTACCAAATAAATTGCCAAAAACATCCAGGTACCGCATACTCCAAACAGCAGAGGCTGTCGCGATTCGCGTGAAACAACCAGTGCTTTGTATGCAAAAGAAGTAAGTCCAGCCACTACTACTGTCCTGGTCTTCAGTAGAGACTATAAATTCATGAATTTGTATTATTATCATTCCTAATTTTTCTGAAATTCAGTTTATTGTTATGTTGATGCTATCGAACTGTAATCTATTGATATTATTATTGATTCGACGTTATTTGAACAACATTAATGTTGTTAATAACATTAATTCACTCACTATTCTGTAAATGTAACTGTAGAGAGTGATGATGAAGTTATCGAAAATAATATTCTTTGTTCGGTAACCATTCTTTTGAAAAAGATAATCAAAAAGAAGGACACGTAACAGTTATACAGCAGTCGAGCTATAGAGATTATCTTCTAGTTTGTTTTCAATATTAGATAAGTTTATTTGATATAATATAGTAATCCAGTTATTGACACAGCATCACTGTGTGTTAAAGCAAATAAACGTATCTAAGATGTAATTACAGTCTACCACAGTGACCAAATTTTACTCTAATATTTGTTTCCAATCATTACAATAAAACAGTAGCACTAAAAGTAGCATAGTAGGAAATGACTATAATAATTAATGACAAAATGTATGAGGACAAGTGGTTACCATGTAAAAGTAACAATGAAAGCATCAAAGTGGTAGTAAAACAACATTTCTCTGAAAATATATATATACATAGGAAGTATTTATTCACACTATCCCAGCATTGCATATTTAACAATGTGACCGACTGGAACGAAATCAAATGAGAATATGTACAAGGCTTGTTAAGAATATTGAAAGAAAATTATATTTGAGATAAAGCGCAGAGTTGAATTCAGGATGAAATTTAATGTCAATGAAATCAACGAAATAAAAATATACGAAAAGCGTCAGGTTCACTTACTGTGAAAATATGACTCACTAGCATCGGTTTCATAACACACACTGCATTAAAAATGCAGAGGTTTTAGTGACATAGTAGAGTAGGCATTTCGGCCACAACCAGGACATTTTTCTTCATTTAGGCATTATCATCACTGCTGAAAACATCAATATGGAGTCACTCAGCAACATTTGACTTATACTTCAAACCACTGATAAAGAGTCCCAAACTAGGACGAAGCAGATGTCAAGTACTCCCAGGTTTTCCAATGATGTCTGCTCATGATGAAACCCTCCAACTAATCAAACACTATCCCTACTAAACCAATACTTGAAAATTAATCTGATGCTCACTAGCGATTGGCCCTATTCAGGCAGTTAACCTAAGGCTCTAGTGAGAAGCTGTGACCAGTAGGGAAAAGCAGGTTGAAGGTGAGGCAGTAGCTTATAGAAGAAGTCATTGCGAAGTGGTCGTGCCATGTCATGAATTGGGAGAAGTTAAACTTCATGGGCTGACCATTGGATCGGGTCCCAGTGGCCTAATGGTCTACGAGCTAGCTCGCCTTGTAACCAGAAGGTCCTGAGTTCGAACCCCGATGGTGGGTGCGTAGTGACGAAGAATCCCAGACTAGGACGAAACGGCTTTCCAGTGTTCCCTGCAGGTCATCCAGTGGCTCTCTAACTGATGTCAGCTCACGATGAAATCCTCCATCCAATCAAATCACTGTATCAAATCTGCCCTATAAAATGTTGACTGCATTTTGGTTGTCTGTAGAACTGTGGCTCATTGATTTGGCCGCCGTACTTCCAACCAGTGATCATGGATTCACCAACCCCACTCAATCTACCAAGGTTCGGACAGCCGGGTAGTTTCACTAGCTCTCACACACCTTCGTCTTTAAGTGTCTCAGTGGTTTACTGGTAGAATCCTCACTAGCCACGCTACAGGTCCGAATTCGATTTCCGTTTGTCTCACTCCTAATTGTCGTCAAGTTTACAAGGTGCCAGTGAGCCCGTAAAAAGGAGGGATGTTGAGTGTGAAGCTAGCTACTACTACTACTACGGGAACTTCAGAAACCTGAACGCCTATGTTTCGCTTAGAACACAAAAGAATGAAAAAAACATTTAATTTTCTAGATAATCTCTTAACCATAAATGCTAATATTATGACACTCATTATCGTCTACTTATCTTTGTCAAAAATCTGGAATATATCATTTTAGTTTATTATTTATTTTATCCTGATTTCAGTGAGTTAACTGCTTTTTTCAACTGTACTAGTATTTTCCGCATTCTGAACTTGTTGACTTTTCTTAGTACAATCAGAGTGTATCATTTATTTACTCAACAATTGGAAATTTCAAAGTAAATTGTAGGTGGTGAACAATTGTAAGACATAAATGAGCTTATGGGATCACGAACAGTTCACTGTTGTTTTTTAAGCTTAATATCAAAGGAACCTAATATGAGTTAGCTTTATTGACAGTTACGCTTCCAGTAATCATTTCCAGTTTGAATTATGAGTATCTAGTAGGAGTTATCTGCTTCGGTGATTCAGTGGTAAGACACTGGCCAACCAAGCAAGTGGTCTGGGGTTCGATCATCGGCAGACGCACTCCTTAACCTCACTTAGCCGGTAGTAAGCCCGGTGAAGAGGAATGGTTGGGCGTGATGTTAGCAACATCATCCTGTTAATCCTACCACTCTTAGTAAAACTTCAAAGCTCTAGCTTGAAACCCTACATTCCACTGGGAAAGCAAAGGAATAATAGTAATTTTAAAAAAGCGAGGAACTAGTAGTTGAAGCTTCTCTATGTTCATTTACTTTCAAAAGATTGATATTAACAAAACACGACCAAGTACTTCTGAACAGTGATCCAAGTTTTCACGCAAATTGGAAGATAATAAAAAGAATCGCAGAAAGGAAACACATTCAATAGGGAAAGAGTGCGATTAGACAAAGGAGAATAGACAAAACAAAATGAATAAATTGAAACCAAGATATGAATGCAAATGTGCAACTGTGGGAAATCCTAAGCCATGTTTCACAGTCTATAACACTTGTTTCCACTGATGGATTTCAGACTATAAACTATACTACACAAACCTATAGTCATGCATAGATACCACGTATTGGTCTGGCCAGCCTTAACTTTTTTTAAAGTTATCTTCCTTGCTTTAACATAAAATGTTGTGGTGAGCAGTGACATACGGCATATATAACAAAAGTCTCAACCACTTCAAGTAATGAACGTTTATAAATTAATCAAATCACTTAAAGTGATTAAATACTACAAAGCTTTGATGATATACTTTCAGTGTTTATTGTTTACAGCCAAAAGACAGAAAATGACACACTGAGGCACAGTTAACTAGATCAGTTAACTGGACTACAATTTTAAGAAATCAAGTTGAGTCTTAGGTATATGAACCAAGATTTCATCTACTTAAACGTGTATGACTTCCAAAACAAATGATATCGACCAACGAAATTGCTCAGCAGAAAGTCCTTGAACCAACAACAGCGGGTTGGGAAGACATATCAAGTACTTTGAACTGATGGTCAGAGGTAGCCCTAACTGTCAAGAAGTTATCTCATCTTATTTTTACCTTCGTCTAGAATGGCATATCTACTTCGTGTCAGTTATAGGATCTTATGCAAAGAAGTTGGACCATATGAGGTTAGGTAGGTGTTTATTACATTATTATGACTATTATTATGAGTGTTACTAACGTTTATTTATTTCACTATTAAATAAAAATGGAAAAAGTAAACGTTCTTGACTGACATTGTTGGATTTAGACACCTCTGGAAACAACTCAGCATAGGTTCTGACGCAACCAATACAAAGACCGTTTATTAAGGAGGCTGTATTTACCCGTTTTCCCTTTCAATAAAACAGCTCACGGAAAGAATTCCGAAGTGATCAAGTCAAAAGTCACCTTCAAATCAACAAATACCGCCAAATTTGGAAATGTTCAGGTGTACAGATTTTTTTTAATCCTACGAAGGAAGGATATTCGATCAGCATACCCACAAACAACCTTACTGTTTGAGCTAGTCGCTCATTACGATGTCATTCAAGACAGCATTTCTTAACAGTTATTCGAAAATTAAGCTCTGGGCATTTTGAATTGTTTTATGATATTGCTATTGTGTCTTAAGCAAAAATATCTATGGTTTTCAGGTAGAATTTTGTCACAAATCGATATTCCCCCAAAAAATAATCGAAAAACAAAGATTTCTGACAGCTTTCAAGTTTTTATTTGGAACTCTTAAACAGTACACAACTAACAGCACATTCTAGACAAAACCTATGGGTTTCAGGCTACAGAGCAAGTATTTAACCATTGATCCAATGAGTTAAAATCCAATGACCCAAGAATTCTAGCTTCCATCAATCGAATTACAACAAAGCAAATGTATGGAATGTTATGTTTTGAAACAGACTTTAAAAATTTAAACAAATACAATAAAACAGCGATGAAATAATCTTCAAGACATACCTCATCCGCAGAATAATACAAGTTCATTGTTAATGGTTCTTCGTCTGTTGACAAAGAACTAATTGAAGAAACCGATTTTGATTTTTCATTTCTATAAGACGATAAAGATTTATTGCGATTTTTAGTTTGCACAGGAGACTCTTCAACAGTGACACAATCATTTGAACACATATTGTTGCCTTTATTCTTCAGCTGTTCTGCCTTGACAATATTTGTTGAAGTGTAAGTGAACTCTCGTGTTGTAGAAGGGGTTGGCGGACGGCTTTATTAGATTATCCCAGGAAAAAGGAAAAAAAATACTAAGTTGCATAGATTCAGGTGTAAACTACAGATGACTGAAACCAATTCCCTAAAAACAAATTTACATACTAATCCAATCAAGTCTTTACTTAGCGTTTCATTATTCGTGGCTGGAAAATAGTCACTATCAGGGTCCTTTAACAGAAGTAATATTCAGATTACACTGGTAAGGTTTGTTATGTAATCGCCAAAAAGCGTTTTTAACATCACTGTTCCAAAAATTCTTTGTCTTGACGTCCGTTAAAATACAGAAATGTTTCATTTCATGAGAAATCGTATAAATTTCTATGAATAACCTTAAAACATATTGTAAATCAGAAAAACACTGAGCTATTTGATTCATATAACTCTAACTGTAGTACAGCATAATGTGAGTTTGTACTTTAGTGGGAGAATCAGTTAATTCAAAGATGGAGATAAATTTTGTTGACGAAAGCTAATAAATCCTTTATGGTGTGGTTGTGTTCTTTGAACTAGACAATTTCATCACGAAGCATTCATTTTCATTTTAGACAATATCTTAAGCGTTATCTTCAATATGAAGTGAGCTTTTAGGGCCCCCTATGAGTATAATAACAGTCTCTCTTGAGAGCATTGAACGTGAATGGTTGTCTCCAAGGTCTTTTTCTTATCCTCTTAAGGACTTGTATTGATGTTGACTAGTCTGATATTTCACCTTCAATCCATGAGACTTATGTTTCATTTGTTGGTGAATATCACATATATCAGCATCTCTGTTGACTGCAAACTCGTCTAAGGACTAGGCTCCCAGGAATTTCCTGATATTGTCGGTATTTCCCAAGTTTAAGATTTGCACATTTTTTTCCAATTTAATTCGTATCGGTGTCCTGTGACAGTCAGCTTATGCTGATGGATGCAAGAATGAAAAGGGTGTCAACTCTCACCAGTATTCTTTAACTACTATTATCCTAACAATCTTCGTTTCATTGAGAAAACTAAACAGCTCAAGATAATAATTCTAAAAATTTATCATTTTATTTATTTCCTGAAGATTTATCACTTCAAAAGATATGCAAGCCATGTACGCGTCAGCCTCCAATGGAGAAAAAGGTTAATTACATTAAACAATCAACAACTCAACACAATCACAGTCATTTTAATACAGTCAAGAAAGATTAAAGTTAGTTGAAGCCTTGCCATCTCTATCAAGACAGCCAGGCTATGAAACATCCAACAATAACAAGAGATTTGTTCAAGAAATTCAATAATAATTCGTGTGTAGATTTGTAACACTACGGATCATCATTGAACAAAGCTTGGAATGGCAGTCACCTCTCTATCTCAACTTCATCGACTTTGAAAAGGCCTTTGACAGCGTCGGTTGAGAGGTGGTTTGGCAACTGCTACGCTACTACGGGTTGCCGCCAACAATTATACACCTCATCCAACAGTTGTACAACAACGCTGCATACCAAGTAATCCACAATGGGAAACTCACGGAATCCTTCGAAGTGAAGACGGGAGTAAGACAAGGCTGACTACTATTGCCAATGATTTTCATGGTTGTGATAGACTGGATAATGCGACAGACAACGGGCAACGAGGAAATAGCCTTAAAATGGACCCACACAAAGAACTTGGAGGATCTGGACTTCACCGATGATATATGTTTGATTTCGCACAGACTGGAAGATACGCAAGTGAAAAGCAACAAGTTGGTAGAGGAAACATCAAAGAAAGATAGGACTTCAGGTGAACATAGAGGAAACAGAAGTGATGAAGAATACTGGCAAACAGCAACAGTAACAACAACAACAGACAACAGACAACAACCAGCATAAATTTGAGAAATCTGAGAGAAGCAACCTACTTTACCTACCTACGCACCTGGGAAGCATCGTTTAAGCTACAGGTGGACGGAACTGACTAGGATATAGAAGCGAGAATCGAGAAAGTAAGACAAGCTTTCATTACTCTAAAGTCTGTGAGAAGGTCTACAACACTCAGCATGAAAAATAAGATCCGGATTTCAACTCCAATGTGAGGTCAGGAGGAGGGGGGGGAGGGTGAAGAGGG